AATCAAACAGGTAAACTGGTTGTGCAACACCTAAAAGACCAGCAAGAAGCTAAATGGGAAATTTTCTTTAACCAGTTAACAGCTTGATTTAAGCTGTGCATTAAATCAAACAGCTTCAATATGTCGTCTGTTAAACCCTAAACAAGCCTTAAAGCATTGTGAAAGCAGCTTCAATTTCCAGGAACCATGCAGAGTGTGTCACTGCATATCCCAGGATGAACATCTGAGCAAGCTTAAAAACAGCAGAGACTATATTTGGCTTGACTCACCCAAAAGGCTACTGCTCACCCCCTTAGGAATAAAACCTCAGATAATCCATATCCCCAGATCACCTGGAGTAGGCTCATCAGCACTGAGCGTGCAAGAATAGAAAGGGTGTGCAGTCACTGCTTTCTGCTGCCACTGGCCAACAAGATGTTAATTATCACTGAGACGTAAAGAGGATCAGGTGCTGGCATTGGCTGAGCACTGTGTAACACCTGCAATGTTTGCTGCCTTTAATGCCCAGCAAGAGCAGCAGCACTGCAATGTATTCCAGCACCTGCTGCCCCAGAGCTCAGCGCGTGCGACCAGAGGAAGACCTGCCCTGTCCCTGGGGTGCCGATGGGAAGTTGCAAGAGGAATCACTGATGTGGGAATCCACTGTAAACGTGCTGCTTTGCAAACGTGAAGTTCTCCAGAAGAAAGGAAACTCTGCAATTTGGGAAAAAGTGCCAGGTGACTTGCATTGTTTCCTTGCAACCGTAGAAAAGACAGTTCCTGGCTTGACTGGAATTGTCCATGTGAGTTGATGCACGTGTTAATCCTACACCACGGGTTGGCCGAGCCCTCCTGCTGACTTGGAGTAACAGTGGAAACCATTCTGACTCTGATTTTCATTGATGTTCTTCTATGGCTCGCTCTGATGGCTTCACACAGAGAGCCAGGCTTCTGCTAACCTGCAGACACAGTGCTATAGCTGCAACTTCCCAATGGCCTCTTAAGGATTAGAATAAAGCACCCAAGATTTAGAAGCAGGTACCATTGCAATATTTCCATACACTTAGTCCTGGCCCAGTGCTCCTGGTTATCGGTGCCTTTGGTTTATATGACTTGTGATACAAAGAGCAAACATTTATCACATGCATGAGATTTCAGCTCCCCGTTACAAGTGCCCCAGTTCTGACAGTTCTGGAGCAGAGGCGTTCCATGACACTGCAGCGTGCTGCAACCACAGAAGAAATGAAAATACAAAATTTGTTTTACATCAGAATGATATGAAAAAAATGTTTTGTAAATGGTGAAACGCACGTTTTCACAGCTACTTTGATGCAATCCTGCAAGACACAGACTTTCCATTACTCCAGGCCATGTCAGTGTGTCCCGGCGTCTCTGGGAAACACAGAGACATACACCTAAATTTTATCATTGCCATCATACTGAAGCAGTAACATAAGTAAAGATCAAGAAAATAAAATAAATCATAAAAATTGTGGGATATGTCTCCAGCAATCGGTGGAAGAGTCTCCTTAAAATGTTTGAGCTCACTCTGTACCCAGTGAGCACGCTATAGAAAGTTCAGCAGATCTTTTTGATCCACTGTGACTTGAATAAAATACATTCACACTCCATACATATGGAAACGCCAACAGCACCACAACTAAACCCTCCTGCTCCCATTTTAAGCCTTGAAATTCTCACCTATGCACTGGTACTATTAATAACAACTGCTTAACTGCATGTAGAATTAGTTCCCCATTAAATCTCCCATTGTAAGTCATGCTGTTCTAATTACACACACACACACACACACACACACACACACACACACACACGAAACAACAAGCAGAAGAAAACCTACCAATATCTAGCATTGCAATATTAATCTACAGATCCCTAGCAAAAGTCCTCCAGTGTCAAGGATTTATTTGCTCTATACGACATAAGTAGAATCATGAGTACCTCTCTTCTTTCCTTCACTCCTCCAGAAACAAGCAGCTGCATTTTGCAGGATGATGGTGGTGAGGGGTTGATGGCTGGACTTGATTTTAGTGGTCTTCTCCAACCTTAGTGATTCTACGAATGGCCACAGGACCGTAGCAGGCACACATTAAGTGCTTTGCTGAACCAGGACCTGCAGCACCCTTAGACAAACTCTGACATCTCTGTAACAATCTAACAGTGGGAAAGGAAAGAGGCCATAAAGTTGGATTAATATTAAAAGTTGCCATCTCAGCTTTCCCACTGCAAGACAACCCAACAACAAACATGGAAGTGAGAAGGTAAGCACTGATACACCTGGACAAGGCACCTGCAGATGCCCAGCCACCTATCTAGAGACAGAAGACACCCTGCCCCATGCCACCACTGTCCTACACAGCCAATCTGTGTTCATAAAGCTCCTCATTCAGGCACAACCCTGCCCACCTGCACCACCCAGCAAGATCAGGCTGTGGCTAGCTGGGAAGCTCGCTAGATGTGTGTGGTCAGGCTTGCAAATATAATGCTGCAGTAAGGCCATAAAAGACATCTTGAACTCCATTTTTCCAGGGCTGATGTAACTGGGTGGGGGCACTACCAGGCTTGTGATAAGCTGAATGTAAAGATGGTTGAAATGAAACATTTGCATATAAAATTTAACTCCTAGAATTTACTAGCAGCAGGGAGATAATGGCGTAACAAGCTGACGAAGAGTCATTATGAGATCATATTCATATTAATCTGAAGCTCGTAGGCATTGTTTCTTGGAGGAAGTACTCATGGTGTGTAGAACAGTAAAAGCTGTTTTAGAACAAAGAGATGAAATAGTTGCTTTAACACAGCAACAGCACTGTCATTGTAAATCTGCCGTGCCATGTATTTTATGGCATTTTCATAGCAGAAGAGGGAATTTACGATGTGATGCTACAAGTCCAGCCAGCCTTCTTCTGTCAGTGGGGTACCTCTCTTAACTCACATCTAAAATATTTGCTGATACCAAAACGTGACAGTGAGATACAAAAACAACGTTCTACAACACAAGAGAACATTATATTCATCTAGCTCAGAGCAAAAAGAAGAAAAACAAATAGCTCGAGTATCTGTTTCTGCAAAGTATGGACACTGCTCTGCAAATATTTCTGTTCTATGGAAAGCGTACAGGAAGAATTACCACTGAGCTTTTGTAGATGAAGTAGTAAAGATGCTATTACTATTGTTATCAAATGAAAGACACCTCACATTTATCATTACTTTTTGAGATAAGAGCTACTCAACATAGAAATGCACTTGGGCTTGACCTCCTGTAGCCAAGTATCAATACTGATGGTGTCAGGACGTCGTATCCGCTCTTGACAGATTACACTAAGCAGCAACTGGTCCCACACAGTCAAAGATTCATCATTAACTTTCATCTGGAGGACCATTTATAGTAGACTTACAGAATCATTCAGGTTGGAGAAGACCTCCCAGATCCCCAAGCCCAACCCCAGCCCACCCCACCATCCCACTGCCCACATCCCTCAGTGCCACATCTCCTCTGAACACCTCCAGGGATGGTGACCCCACCACTGCTGGGCAGCTGTGCCAATGGTCAGCACTCTTTCTGACTATAAAAGCTTCCTGATATCCAACCTGAACCTCCTCCAGGACATTTCAAATGTGTTGCCTAAATAGAATTGGCACTTAGGCATGACAGGACCACATCCATTCTGAACAGAAGCTGTCTTCTGATAAACAAGAAGTCAACATTAAGAGTAATATAATATTTGGGAAAATTTCTTCTCCAAAAGAGTGGTCAGGTACTGGAACGGGCTGTCCAGGGAGGTGATTGAGTCGTCATCCCTGGGGGTGCACAATAACTATTTAGATGCTGTACTAAGGGATGCAGCTCAGATGGTGAAACACTGGTGGCAGACAGATGGTTGGACTGGATAATCTTGGAGATCTTTCTTTACAAGGAGAGTGGTTGGGCCCTGGAACGGGCTGCCCAGGGAGGTTGTGGATGCCCCGTCCTTGGACGTGTTCAAGGCCAGGTTGGACGGGGTCCTGGGCAACCTGATCTGAATGTGTGTGTTTGGTGGCCCTGCTGGGCAGGGGGGTTGGAACTACATGATCCTTGAGGTCCCTTCCAACCCGGGTGATTCTGTGATTCTGTGATCTTTCAACCTTGGTGACTCTATCAATAAGAAAAAAGGTTGTGTGACACTGAAAATTCAATTTGATCCAATTATTTGATGGGGTTTCTGCTCACCCTAGCAGATGCAAAAAAAAATCCTCCAGGCACAAGGAGGAAAGGAGCAACTTGGTGCATAGCTTATGAATGAGACAACAGCAACAGAAAGTGGGTTGGTTTAAATCAAGAGGGAAAAAAAATACTTCAAAAGCAGTCGCAAGGAGGAACATTCCACCAAGACAAAGTCATCTGTCCTTACTTTCCCAAAAGCAGCATGATCAAAGCTGATTATGGGATTTCGAGCCCTGAATGTTTCTTTGTATTGCCCAAGCAGAGAGTGAAAATGCTTTACGATACCAAAGACAGAAGGAAGATCCTCAGATATTACAAAGCAGGGACCAGGATTTAATGCTTTTAAAAAGACCAGTGCCTGCAATCCACTCGCACGATGACGTGAGACATGAGCCATAGGAGATGTGACTGGCTGTGTAGCTTTAGGTAATGCACCAATGGAATACTAAACAACAACATATGCACTGCATTTGTAATGAGATTGGACTTTTAACCTTCTAAAGCAGTGGGAAACAATAGGGCTTTTAAAAATACCAGCTCAGAGGTAAGGAGAGGGTCAGCCCCTTACAATTTATATTTATAAAGTTGCATAGCTGAGTTTCACTTTGAATTAGAAATTACTTGAAAAAGTCAGAGGAAATCAGGGGAGGAGGGAGAAAAAGAATGTTGGCATAGGGGAAAAAACTAGAAGACAACAAAAGAAATGGCAGAGGAGGCTTCTCAAAAAGCACCCAGGGAATTATGCTCCCTGGGCCCCAGCTCACACACTGCCATTAGTGCTGGCTCATCCACTTACCTGAGATGCAACACAAGAGCTGATGGGCACATTATCCTCTCTGCATCAGATGTTAATGCCTCCAGAAGTACCAGGCAACAACCATTCTGTCTAGAGAGATGACCCACATGAAACTGAAGTCAGAACTTCAGCTGCTATAAATGAGATCAGAGTGAATCCAGCTGATTCACACTAATTTAATGAACCTGATGAACTTGCCACAGAAAATATCAGAAAGCAATGAACCACTTTAATGACAGATAGGAGCCTGAAGCTCATTCCGTACATCACACAAACCTCGGGAAAAAGGAGAGCAGGAATGGAGCCCCACAGCAGAACATTGGCATTGGGTCTGGGCACAGGGCCATGCTTCAACTCCATACAAGAACAGGAGCTCCCCATGAGGCAAGCAGTCACATCCTCCATCCTAATTCCTCTCCTGCCTTGCGCTGAGGAGAGGGGAGCCCCTCTCTCCAGTTCAATCCAACACAACCCTGAGCTCAGCAGATTTAAGTGGGAGGTGCAGACTTTGCCCACAGTTTTATACACCAAGCTAGAGGCCATCTGATGACGTTTCCCTCACCAAACAGATTCCAACAGCAGCAAAGCAAATAAAAGAACAACTAAAGAAAAGGGAAAAAATAGAAGAAGATTCAAGATTGCCAAATTCTGACACCATTTTTGGTAGAAACATGGGACTGGAGAGGATCACAGTGAGCTCAGATCTCTGCAACCTCAACCAAACACACAGCACTGTTTCAGGAGGACGCAAAGGATATTTCCTTCACACACTTTCAGATATTACAGGTCAGTGGACATCGTTACTCAACACCCTACTGGATCAACTGTGGTTCTATGGGAAGAGACCAAGTGCTACAACCCTGACCTGCCTCAGGTAGAGTGCAGGAGATCAGCAATGCAGCCATGGGAATGTGTTACATCAAAGAACGCAGCAAACAGATAACATCCCAGTCCACAGGGACAACAGAAAGAAACCTCAAGCTTCCTTTCAGGGAAATGGAAGGAGCTAAGAGAAGGCCAGCATCCCCAGCATCCATGTAAATGCTCTGTTATATCACCAGTGGTACAACCTGCACAGCCCTGCTGTTCTACAGCCCCATGTTGCCCTGCCAGCCACAGACCTGCAGATTTTAGATGCTGGGGATAGGGTTAGGGTAAAGGCCCTTTCTTGAGCCTAAACTTTAAGCACATCTTTCTGTTTTTCCAGCTCTGTGGATGCAGTCTGCCTCCAGCTATCCACCCAGGCATTACCCGTGTCACTGCTGCGGCACTCAGAAGCTGGCACCTCCTGTTCATGAGGCTGAGCAGCACTGCAAGCAGCCAAGTACTCTAGTCCTTCACCAAGCAAAACAACCCAAGGAGGATTTGGCAGGAGAAGGAGCAGCAGAATCTGACCCAAGTCAAATGCAACTCTCCAAGAAATTCCTTTTCACTTGCAAGTGACATACAGACTTGGCCTGCCCTCCTCTGACTTACCAGCACCCTCCTGTAAGGCAGCATTAGAAAGGAGCCTGTCTCACCCAGGGATGTTTTTCAACAATACTTCATGTCCTCTTTTACTGTCTTCTTTTTAAGCCACTTCCAAGCTCCATTCCTTCTGCTCCCTACTCAGATCAGACTAATAAGAACATCACCTCAGGGAAAAGACTTGTACACAGACAGACTTCCTCTTCAGAGGATCAAACAGACCAGACTGTTCCTTTTCAAGTTTTATTAATCCTGGTTCATAATTTCCACCACATCATTAGTCATTTCCTATTATTGAATAGCTGGTAGCAGCAGCATCGCACAGTAAATAGCAAGATAACCATGCCACCTGCAATTTCTTGGCTGATACCTTCCCACAACCACATCTGGGGAAAAGACGAAGAGGTAAAATTAAAAGCCCAGCCATGCCGACTTTTTTGATCTGTGGCTCATTTCTTTTATTCACATCATCTGCTCAGCTGGCTACATAAGCTGCTGCAGACCTTGTTTTAAAACAGCTCCAGAAGATTAACACTAAAACCAGCAGTTTGGAAATGTGGTGATTTTCACTGGAATGCCCGTTCCGAGGCATGCAGGGTCTGAGGGGATCTTGCTGGTTATCAGGCCTTGTTCTTTATTTGGCTTCCTAAGCTTTTCCTGGTTTCTCAACATCCTTTAGGTAATTTTGCCACCAAAAATGGGCAGAGAATTCAAACGCCTTCAAGCAATCTGTTTCCTATTGAGTTTTTCTTGCCCTCTCTCCAGCAAAACTTATTTTTCTAATAATATCCTTTTTTCCTTCTACCGTCCAGCTCAGGAGGCTAATCGGGAAAGAACGCCACAGCCTTTTCAGTTTCAGTATAATATCCCAGGAGTTGGACTCGTTGATCCTTATGGGTCCCTTCCGACATGGGATGTTCTATGATTCTATGATCTACATTCCTGGAGTGTTCTTGTGGACCCTCTTCTTTCCTCCCATAGTGCAAGGGTCCCCCACTCAAGTTCTGGGTCAGAGTTTCCACGTGGTTCAGTGCTTGGTGGAGCAGGACAGACCCCCAGCCAACAGCCTGAGTCAGAAGTGTGTGGCTGCAATGACCATGGCACAGCTGTTAGAACAGGGAGAACCGATTCCCACCCCAGCAGTGCAACTTCTCCTCTTTCCTTCTTTCCCACTATCTCAGTAAATTTTCCAGTCACCCTTCTTCTGGCCTGCTGTTTCCTCACAAGCTCTGCAGGACAGCCTCACCTTGGCCCCACACCAAGTTCACCAAAGACAAGGAGTCCTCCCACCATCTCAGGGGCAGGCAATGGAATCCCCAGGACTCCAAAAGGATTTCCTCCTTTTCACTTGTCCTCGGGACTGCAGCCTGGTACACAAGCACAATCACTTGGGCTGCTGTGTTCCTAGCAGGAAGGAATGGCTTTGGGTTTATGGCAGAGCAGGTTGCTGCTGCAGACTTCCTGCATGACCTTAGGGAAGAAGTGACTTGCCATCAGACCTTCTCAGTGCTTGTTTCAGTTTGTGCCCATTCTTCTGAACACAGATATTGTTTATTAGAGGTCATCTGAGTCCTAGGTGAAAAGAGGTAATTAAACGCCCGATGACTAATGTGTTTAACACATTAACATGTGTTTGCTTTCACAGGGGCTTTGTGAAAACGTGATCTGCCAACCTTGTGTGCCACTGCTGGCACTCAGTGCTTCAATCTGCCAACAAGAGGTAGCAACACCTGAGTGCATCTGTCCCTATTTACAGCAGCCCAGTGGGACAGCCAGCTCAGTGCCCCACAACTTGTGCTGTCCTTACTCATAGGACAAGAGGATTGTCCTTTGCAATCCAAGATGTCTGCATGTTTCTTTGTACTCGTTTATGTTTTCATCTCCATTACTCTCCTAAATACACATAAACGTACGCTCATCTTTCAGACTGCCAGATTCTTCTCTGACCCAACTCCCTAATTCCACCCGAGCTTTTTGTGTCCCTGTCTCCCCTGCGGTGTGGGCAGATAGACTTCCTCTTGAGAAGGAGATGGAGAGGACAGCATCACAGAGGTCAACAGCATTCCATGGCAGGTCATTTCAGAGCGCTTTGAATTTCACAGTGTTTTTCAGGGACTCAGTCTCGCTCAGTCTCCCATGCCCACCCTCAGTGAAGGCAGGAGCTGCTTTCCCCAGCTGCCCCTCTCAGCTCTTCCAAGGGAGCCTAGAGCTGATTTGATAACTGGGGCTCCTTCAACAAGCTAAGGGGGGTGAACCAGCCAACAGAGCAAACAGGGAGTCCCCAAATTCCTTAGCTGTTACAGCAGACTTTTCACTGTTACCCAGGCAAGCAACTTAATCCCCTACCCTGCTTCTAGCGAGCGTGAGCTTATCCTGCACAATAAAATCTTCCTCCCTTGGAGGAGTGCAAAAAGCTCTAATTAGCGTTCCTAAAGTATCTTCAGGCCTCAGACCATAAAAGTGTAAATGGCTCATCTTCCAAATAATAGCAATAAAATCCTGGAATCAGTAACTTGACCATAACTGCTACATGGGTATAATAAATTGCTTTTGCCATCTCAAAATGAATTGTCATGAATCAGGGCCTTTGTTCTCGCAGTCAGTGAGTTATTTTTTGCCCTTCTGATGGAATTCCTGCAATAACAATGAGGGAAGCATGTAATGGAGAGTGACGGGCATCTTTATAAACAACGCTGGTCACACGAGCCATATATCAGAGAAATAGATTCCTGGTACAGTAACATCTCAACAGCCTAGCAAAGATGGGGCAGCCTGTTGATCTGGTTACTCTGTATAGAGGCAGAGTTTTTTATTTGAAGCTCCTATAATCTTAAGAGACAAAAGGACAGAATCATTTCCAGCCATATTTTTCAAATGGGAAACAGAGGACAGTGAGCAACTGATCAGATCCGAGGAGACTGAGAGGAGGCTGGGAACTGAGCTCAGCTCAGGGCTTTAACTGCGAGCTTCTCCTTTTCTTTCAGTTCCCAAGGAAAACCCTGCCTTTGCCAGGATCCTGGTCACAAAGCTGCCGTGTAACTCCTCTGTGACAACAAGCACTGCTGAACTCCTGTGCACAGCAACAGGAGCCCGGGGTCTGAACCCCACTGTGCCCTTCAGCCCCAGGCAGAATCAAACCCTGACATCCCAGGTTTGAAAGCTGTGCATTTCACATTCCTTCCCCAATGGGAACAGCACATCTTAATTCAAGAGAGGGTCAGGCTGTAGCTCCTTATAGCAAACAGGGAGGAGGGAATGGTTTGTCATGGAACCTAATTATTTAGCAGCATGCTGAAAAGTTGCCTGGCAGGGTCTGCCCTTGCAGACAGCACTTTCTCCCCTAATAGTGATCCTGATAGCAGGACTTTTATCAGCAGGGCAGCACTGCGCTCTGCTCAGAGCCCAGTGATCAAGTGGCCTTCACAGCTGCCACTGCTTCCTATTAAAAGGCTACAAGGGGCCTGTGAGATTAAGAAAGGATAAAAACAAGTACTTATCATTTGGGAAGTAATGTCACTGGTTATCTAAAGCAACGTAATTATATCACAAGCTTTATCTGCGAGTGGCTTTTTCCTTCCAGGGGGTAGGAATAGAAAAACTTTTCACTTCATAATGAGTCCTATTGAAACTCCATTTTGCCCTTGGCAAAAGGCCATTATCCAGCAGAAACATGTAATCATCCTAAAAATGCATAATGGCATGGAAAACGGACAAGTAGTTTCTTGAAATATTGTTTGTAAAAGGCCTAATTTATAATGGGGATTGTTTGTGTTAGGGCCTTTTGGCATGTATGGTTAACAAGAACTTGCTGTTCTGCTGCCAGTTTGTCTAATCAAGAGGGCCTTGTGTAGGCCTCCCTCGATACGGCCACGGCAACAATGGCAGCTTTTTCCAGGAGCTGCCCCATCATGACAGAGCAGCCCACTGCTTCATCTGTTGTTCCTCGCGATGGACACCGCTGCTGTCAATGTGCCACATCAAGACAGAATCATCATCGGATCCAGTGCACTGCTGTCTGTCTAGAGAAATGTTAGGAATGAGCTGGCAGCACCATTAATTGAGTTCAATCATGCAACTGTTGGCTCTTTGTAGCGATGCCATGGTGTGACCAACGCCCTCCGGAGAGTTCCTTCCTCCGGAGGAAAAGCAGCAGTTTGCACACACGCTATGAATGAATGCTCTGGCCCTGCAAAGAGTTGGATCACGTGCGTGAGAAAGCATTCTCCAAAAGGAAATGAGAAAGTCACAGAATCACAGGACAGTCCGGGTTGGAAGGGACCTCAAGGATCACGAAGCTCCAACCCCCCTGTGCCATGCAGGGCCACCAACCTCCCCATTTCACAGCAGCCCAGGCTGCCCAGGGCCCCATCCAACCTGGCCTTGAACACCTCCGGGGCATCACAGCCTCCCTGGGCAGTCTGCAGTAAACACTCTTCACCTGCTTTATTATTAGGTTCCGAATACGCTTTGCTTTCATTTAGTATCCACAAAATGGGAGTTGAGAAAGTCCCCATTGTATCTGGAGATATCATAAATGCTAACAACTGTATAGGCTTACCAGGCATCTTGGTCCATGGCAAACTCTGCAGGTGCCCAATATACCTTCTGGAATCCCTCCAAGCATCTTCCTTTATGCTGGGAAAGGTTCCAACCAGTGCTCCTGGCAGATCCAGTGCTCAGCCCACATGCCAGCTTTGGAGGAACTTTCCCCCAAAGCAGAGCTAAAGCTACACAATACACATTCCTGATGATCCTGGATTTGGGAAGCAGGGTGCCATGCAGAGGGGAGATATGTGCTGGAAAGCAAGCATGAGAGATTGCTTTAGAGCAGAGCACAAGATGATACCGCTCCCACCAGTGAGCCACAGTGCACAGCACAGAGGGAAAGGAGGAACCACGGATTTCAAGACTTTCAATGCCAAGATCCAGGCCTGAAAAGTTGTACCTTGTGACACAAAGCAGTCATTTGCTGTAGGTTTGTGCCTCGAGGCCTCCAGCACAGACGATGCCTACTGAGCCTGGCACTGTACGTGCCTTTATTTTAAGACAGTCCTCGCTACTGAGAGCTTAGAATTGACACAGAATGGTATTTTTAACAAAAGTACAATAATTGCCACAAGTAAGATGAAAACAAAGCTATAATTTGGACAGCTTGACAGTATGTGAAGGCCCTCTGTAGAGAAACATAGTTCAAAGCATTTTTGGCTTTCAGGCAGTTTTGCTGAATCCATGGGTATCTCCCTAATGCATAGAAAACAAGAATCCTTCTTTATTTGCTCCAAAGCTGTGTTTGTACAGTAACTTCTGAAGAAGGCGCTTCTTCCTTCCATAACCAAATAAAATGATCCCCTGGGTTATTTTTAGTGCTCATGGCCCAAAGACATCGCTTGGCTCTCTACCACAAGCCCAGCCGTGTGTTACTATATTAAAAAATGTGAAAATGTAATTACGGGGTACTGAAGCCAGTGTCTGCAGACAAAACCTGCCAGAAGTGAGGAGACAGGAAGCACGGGCCCTTCGGAGCCGCGCGGGGCCTTCCCTGCCTCGCTCCTCACCAGGACCAAGAGGGCCGAGATGGGGCTCGGCTCTGCAGGGCGGCTGACTCACAGCTGCCTTTCTATAGGAACGGGTTTGCTGTAACCTGCAAGTGCAATCCTCACTCCCCACAGTTTAAAAAACCCTTCACTGCCAATCCACAGTGTGGCACCACCTATGCCTGGTCACACTGAAGCCACCCATTCTTCACATGGAGAAAAGAGCCTGGATCATTTCCCCTTTGCATCACGGCACTCTTCCACAATGGAGGGCCGATGTCACCAGGTCACATTCATCTTCATGCTCTTGACTGCCCAGCTTTCATGTGTCTTCCGCTTCTAGACTGCACGTCTATTCTCCCCACTGAACCACAGAATCATTCAGGTTGGAAAAGACCTCCCAGATCCCCAAGCCCAACCCCAGCCCACCCCACCATCCCACTGCCCACATCCCTCAGTGCCACATCTCCTCTGAACACCTCCAGGGATGGTGACCCCACCACTGCTGGGCAGCTGTGCCACTGCAGCACCACTCTTTCAGAAAATAAATGTTTCCTCATGTCCAACCTGAACCTCTTCTGACACAACTTGAGACCATCACCTCTCGTCCCATCACTGTTACCTGGAAGCAGAGGCTGACCCTCACCTTGCTACCACCTCCCTTCAGGGAGCTGGAGAGGATGATAAGGTCTCCCCTGACACCTTATTACTGTGCTTGAGCTGGCAGCTACCATCCATGGCAGAATGAAAACCTGCTCTACTTTATCCAGCTGTCCCTATCAGGCTGCAAGCCCTAAGCATCCCCATGCAGGCACATGGCAGAGTGCAGCTAAGCAGAGCCAAAAGCAAGCACAGCTCCACTTTCTCTGAGACCCCAGGACAGCAGCACAAGTAGCTACTGAAGAGTGAAGGTATGAAGAAAGAAAAAGCACTTTTCCTCAGGGCGTGTGAGCTCTGACAGGAAACTTCAGAGAAACTTTGGGGGAGGGATAAGTCATTGGGATGATGAATCGCCCACTGCCCTACAGAGTCATTTCCAATCCAACTGTCTTTAGGAGAGTTGCCTCTGAGCTGAGCACAAAATCCTCTTCAAAATATACATGGAGTCTCAGGGTAAAGAAGCCAGGCACACAACGCAGAGCTAGGATCGGTATTAATAGAATGCAGACAGCAAGTTGCTCACCTGCTCCTTCCTTCCGACATCAGCCTGATCTCTTAGCAGTCTATCAGTTTGTCCCTTGCTACTGGCCTCTCACTGACAAAAAGCTGAGCATTTGCTGACAGAAGGAAATGCAAGAGGCAGGAGCGGTTGGCCCAGCCCAGCACAGCCAAGCGAGCCGCAGGAGGCTGAGCAGCAAAGACTTGTCCATTTCCAGCTCAAAATGACCAAGTGTTCCATAATGCCTTGCCAAAGCCAAGAACCCCTCTCCAACGGTTGCCCTGTAAACCTCCTGCCAAGCTCTTTTGCTTTGGCACTTTGCAATAAAATTGCACATTTCAACATTTTGCACAGCTTGATTCTGCAGCTAATACAATGACAATGTTTCAAGTGGAAGATTAAACATCAGGACGTTCCTTGTATCCTCACATTATCCACATCCAAACTCCTGCTTTGCCCATTCACGCTTCTTGCTTTAAGCTCTCAGAATCCATCCACGTAGCCTGGTTTACCCAGAGTCCCGTTACTGCAGCACTTCCCCACGTTCCCCTCTGGCCGGGAGCACTGGGACCTCTCCAACGCAGTATCCGCAGTGCCACCTTCTGGTCTGCCATACGAATCCCAGCCACTCTGCTGCAGAATGATGGAATCATTCAGGTAGGAGACCTCTAAGATCCCCACGCCCAACCCCAGCCCACCCCACCGTGCCCACTGCCCACATCCCTCAGTGCCACATCTCCTCAGCTCTGGAACCCCTCCAGGGATGGTGATCCTACCACTCCTGGGCAGCCGTGCCACTGCATTACCACTCTTTCAGAGACTAAATCTTTCCTAATATCTGACCTGAGAAGGGCTTGTCAACCTGCCCGTCCCCACTGCAGTTACCAGCTCTCATGGCCACAGGCAAAACCTCTCATGCACGTGGTCCTCGATGCACTCCAGTCCCATCATTTCAGTTCACCAGACTGCAGAGCTCGGAGCATTTGCTTTTCTCCAGCTCAGGAATCTTCAGACCGTTTTCCTCTCCAGGAAAACAGATAAGCAGAGGAGTAACTCCTGCACTTCTTCTTGGCCTGCTGTCCCAAGATCTACAAATAGGCCGCTGTGCTGCTGCAAGCTTCAGCATGTGAACAGTGATCTGATATCAGCTCACCGTACCTGATAACAGAGGTGCCTCTGCAGATGTTTGCAGCGCCCCAGGCTGTCCCCCAGAAGCTTCTCAGCTGCTTCACACCCTCAGCACATCAGCAGGTGCAATCCTCTTGAGGACAGCCACAGATCCATGTCCTGAAGCTCAGCACCAATGGCTGCAAAGGAAGAAACGCCGTCAGCAGCCTGCCTTGAAGTTGTTCATCGGACTTCTGTATTAATTCTCCACTGCATTATTTACAGCCATACTAAAAAATTAAGTGCTTCATGGAGCTTCTCTGTGGGTTTTGGCCACATGGAACAAATGCGATTTCCTGAAGCTTGCAACACATTGGCAGCATATCAGCAATTTCAATGCATCTCTCTAAATAAGGACTTAATTCTCTTTTATTATAGGCCCCATTATACTGCTCCCAGTGGCTAAAGGGGCCTTGAGTTTTGGCAGAAACGTCATTTACACCCACCTTATGTCCTTCTTACAGAATTCTGATCTATAAAAGAAAGAGGCAGTGTACTGTGCAGCTCCAGCTTGCAGTCTGGAAGCCAGAAGTTTTCCACTGCCCCTGGCTTTGGCCAACGGGGAAGCCATTTCAAACCAAGAGCTCAGCTTCCACCAATACACTTGTATTTCACTTCCTTGTACTAATGGAGCCCTTAACAAAGCTATATTATAAGAGCAGGGGAAAACAATCCCGATCTCGTGATGTAAAGGACATGTTAGCGATAGGACTAGAGGGAATGGCCTCAGGTTGCTCCAGGGGAGATTCAAGTTGGATGTTAGGAGAAATTTCTTCTCCGAAAGAGTGGTAAGGTGCTGGAATGGGCTGCTCAAGGAGATGGGCTAGGTTAGCTGCACCCTAACCCTAACCAACCTGGAAGTGTTTGAGAACCATTTAGATGTTGTACTGAGGGACATGGTTTGGTGGGGAAATATTGGTGGTAGGTGGATGGTTGGACTGGATGATCTCGCAAGTCTTTTCCAACCTTGGTGACACTATGCTGCTGTGATTCACCCTCATCTGGAGGGTTCAGCTATGGCACTGCAGCAGTTCTAGGCCCTTTCTGGGGCACCCCACCAGGAAACCCTGCCAGGATAAATCTGTTTGAAGAGAAGCAATCCTCTGTGCCTTCTCTACGAACAGACCACGATACGTCATTCCTCTCCATCTGCTCTCTGAGGCATGGATTGCCTCCTGCATGTGCGGGTGATGCCTGGCACACACAACTCCGATCTCCGTTGGCCGCTACGGTAACACACCATAATATTTGGATGAGGAGAGCTTACACATATGGGAAGTCCCACTGGCTTCTAGAAGAAGTCTCCCAGCTTAGCCTGGGAACTGCGATTGGGAGACGTAATCATAACAAAGCACAGCCTTTATCTCCCAGTGGGAATTCTTCCAGCTTCCATTCTTTAGAGCCTTATCCATCCCTTTGTAAAATATTTCTTTTTTTTTTTTCTAATGAAGAACTTTCCAACTGAACTCACATTTCCAAAGATGATTTTGAAAAGAACATACAATTTTGGGGATAAACTGGCGAAAGTCCAGTTGAGCTCTCACCACTGCAATTGCAGCAATTTTCCCATCCAAATATACCCCCGGCGTGGAGAGCAATCACACCATCACTGCATAAAGCTGTTTTGATAGATCAGTTCCCTCACCGAGCAGATTTTATACTCATCAGAACTATTTATACATGCTCACATATCAGAGCTATTCTAGGAATTAGCAGTATGAATAATCACGTTAGTCATTCTGGAAGGAACAAACAGATGCAGTAGCTTTATTCATGCAAAGCAGAGATACCTACGAGAAAGCTGATTCCCTCTTCCTGCCTGCTGCTTTAAATGCACGCACACACATCCACGTGCATGCGTGGATCACACGTCCCACTGCAACCAAAGATCAAGCTTAATTAAATAAACAGCAACAAAGAAAGCAGGTTCTGTCTATTTTTAAACAAGTATGCCCTAAACGTGCACCAAATCAAAACTCCTTAGCGCACACTCCTAAGAGCTTTTGTAAAATCCAGCTTAAGGGAATTAGGCACGCAGATCTAATTGAATTTCAGGGCGATACGGACACCTCCGTCCTTGAAGCTCCTCTGGAAACTCCTGTCTTATCCAATACATGGTTCACTTTCCAGCTGAGAAATACCTTAGTAATGGTACACTTAACACTCAACAGTCATTTGACCTATTTTACTAATGTGTTTGGGAAGGAGGTTAATTAACAGTGGATAGCTATATCCTTAAGCTTAATTTTTCCAACAACCCTGCTCATAAAAGGAAAAATTGAGTACATATTAAAGGAAGCAAGCAATTAAGTTGCACAAATAGTGAGCTCATTGAACTGCAGCTGACTTCTATCATGTCAAAGAACAACTAAACACAGAAGCAATGAAAAGATTGTTGCCACGACCACCACTGAGAACTGCCTGGCAATAAAGATGAATAACTTCCTACTTGAAGATTACTGATTAAGGCTCTTAGAAACCAAAAGGTTGGATATAGGCATATCTCAAGCAAAATATTTTAATGCACATTTGGCAGATTCTGTAACGTATTTACAGTGGATTTAAAGCAAAGATTTATACAACTCCAGTAAACTCTGTTTGAAGCAGTCTTTAAAATGACCACCGTTCCAAACTCCGAAAGCACAAGGGAACTGGTTCGTTTCAAAGGAGCTTCCTTTTCTGTTTCCTAAATACAGAGGTGGGGAAATGGAAGGTTGAGCATCCATAGGCCTAAGCACACTGTTGATGGACGGCGCACACAGAGCCCTGGCCACCTGCTTGCCATGGGGCTGTGCCCCTGTGCAGCACAGCCTGCTGGGGAGGAGGCCAGACAGACAGACAGACAGAGCTGGGCATCCGTGCGTGGGACCACAGGGCAGCTTTGAGTGGTTGTCCTGCTGCAGATCCCCACTACTGCAAATCTTGGGAAATATTGCTGAGTAGGGGACAGTCCAGGCAGTGCAGCACGGAGCTCTTCAGCTAAACTGCTGCTGATAGCAACAGCTGGGGCTGAAAAGGAACTGTAGTCATAGAATCGTAGAACCATCGAATCATTCAGGTTGGAAAAGACCTCCCAGATCCCCAAGCCCAACCCCACCCTGCCCACTGCCCACATCCCTCAGTGCCACATCTCCATGGCGCTGGAACACCCCCCAGATGGGGGATGGTGACTCCACCACTGCTGGGCAGCTGTGCCACTGCAGCTCTGCTCTTTGGAAGATATTTTTTTTCCCAATATCCAATCCAAATTTTTTTCCTAATACCCAACCTTTAGTGGCAGCAGAACAAAACCCAAGTGTTTTGCAGTGAGTGTGCAACACACTGATGAACACATGCTGTTTGTTCCCATCTCCGTCCAACGCAGACAGCTGATTGCAGTCATGCCTCTGTCTCTCCCGACTCAAACGATAGGTTTTCCTGTGTATAATTCCAGGAATACACAGCACTGGCCAACATGCCACGTGTTAGGAACAGCACACCCCAGAAAGCGCTGCCATGTGCTTTTCCTTCACCTGGCCCACCAAGGCTAAGCTAGCCAAAATCCAGTGCCCCAGAGCAACCACTGTGGCAGCTGTTCTCTTATAGTACATCAGCAAACCCACCTTCTAAATGAGTAGGAAGGAGAATCTCCATAGCCACGTGCTGTCAAATCCAGACCTAATAACTGTGCTTTTTGTAGGGACATCTCGAAACCCAAGAGGGAAAGCGTGGCGAGCTCCCCTCCCCACGCATCAGGACTCCCTGTGTCACCACCTGAGTGCCACCGGCCTGCACAGAAGCACACAGTCAGGGGAAAGGCACTGACCAACACTGCCATGCCCCAGTGGTGGAATCAGAGCGATGAACTGCGCAGAGACGTCGGGGAAAGAACTGGAAAGGCAGTTTGGCTGGGAGCAGACAGTGAGAGCATTCAGGCAGAAGAGTCAGGAAAATTTTATTCAGATAAGTTCTGATTATTTGCAGTCTGTGACTAAATATGAGGCACCTGCAAATGCAATAGAGCAAAAATCTACAAAGCAGAAAGCAGCTTTGTCCGGCGTCCAGGGAACAGCTGGCTCTGCCTAGCGAAAGACACTTCATTTTAGGTAGAGCAGGTTGAGAGGCTATATGCAGTCCCATGACAAATGACATTAAATACGATTATTGCTCTCTTAGCTCTCACTGTAAAATACTTCTCCGCACTAATGACATGAATTTTGAGCTGATGTTTTTAAACATCAAATCCAAACAAACAGAAACTACGCTCCAAGCGCAGTTATCCCGCTGGTTTCAAGGGCTTCACTTTTTATTTCTCTCCCCCTAATAACTCCTTGAAGTCATCTTCCCCTGAGTTATGGGCCTTGTGCTAATGCCCCGCAGCAAGTATCTTCTTACTTCCAATTGCTGTATGATGATGGAAGCAAGACTTGCTTTTGTCATTCTTTTAAGTGCAACTTGAAAATAAATAACTGGGAAGCAGACCTCCATTTCCACCCACTTGCTCCTCTGACTTGAGTCTTTTTGCCCTTGAAAACTTTCTGAATCCACAGTCCCTGCAGTGAATCACATCAAGAAGTAAAAATCTTAATTGTAACATGTAAGTTAAACAGCAAGACATGACTTCATTGCAGCGGAGATAAAAGGGCAAGGGATTACTGGCATTTTTCACCTCATCTTAATTCATGGGGCTTCTTGGGACTGATATAATACAAGCACATGTGAGTGCAGGGAAATTATTTCTTAAATGTTTTTATCTGCTTTGGGCACTTTTAGTGCCTTTCCATGCCTAGTCCCCACATCTGGAGTCCTGAGTGTTGTCAACTGCTGTGGCTGTGCTCACACCTAGATTCTTGTGCAAGACACAGAAGCACAATGGCACGTTGATTCACAACAGAAAAGGCTTGCATTTCCAATGCGCCCTTTCACCTCTGATAAAGCAACAGCAAGCACTTAACTACCCAGGAGAGTCTCCTTAGCCTGAATGAGATACTGAGACATGGAAACACAAAAGGAAGGCGAGATAAGAGGACTGCAGTGGAAAAAATAGGAACACTAATTTCTTTAGAATCGCAGAAGCATCCAATCATTCAGGTTGGAAAAGATCTGCCAGATCCCCAGGCCCAACCCCAGGCCACCCCACCGTGCCCACTGCCCACATCCCTCAGTGCCACATCCACTGCCCTTGGACACCTCCAAAGGAAGATGACCCCACCTCTCCTGGGCATCTGTGCCTCTGCAGCACTGCTCTTTTGAAGAGGAATTTTGTCCTTATATCCAGTCTCATTTTTTTCCTAATATCCAACCTTCAGCAGCAGCAGAACAAAGCCCAAGTGTTTTGCAGTGAGTGTGCAACACACTGATGAACACGTGCTGTTTGCTCCCATCTCTGTCCAGTGCAGACAGGTGACTGTAGTCATGGCACTGTCTCTCCTGACTCAAACGATAGGTTTTCCTGGGTATAATTCCAGGAATACACAGCACTGGCCAACATGCTGCATGTTAGGAGCAGCACACCCCTGAGTGTCCCTCCGGCCTTATGATCTATAGATCTTCCCTGCATTTGTGGGGACGGAAGCAGTTTTTCAATAGCTCAGACTTACTCTGATAAGGCTAATTTACAGTCTCTCCTCACCAAATGCATTAAATTGCTTTCCAAAAATTCTGCTGCACATTTAGCAGCTGCATTCACTGCCCATTGGGGTATTTTGGAAAAAGCAGAGGCTGACTTTTATACAGCATTTCCTATCTGTGAATGTTTAAAAAAGCAAACAGCAGTGGTGTTCCTCCTTTTCTTTTGCATCTCCTTTTTCAGAAATAATTTAGCTTAGAAACTACATATATGCCTTATTCTTATTGAGGGGTTTTTTTTTTTTTGCAAAATATTTATGCTCTCACCTTCAGATGAGACCCAGCAGCAGTTCTGAAGTCCATTCCTATTTGTCAATACATCAAACTGCATTTGTCTATGCAGCACTCAGCTTTGTTCCAGCTATTCATTCTGTATTTCTTGCGAGTACTGGGGCAAACCAATTCCCTGAGATACACCTACACTGACATGAGCTGGGAGGAAACAAAAGGCATTCATGCACACTCGTGCACAGAAGCATATGCCCAGTTCTTCTGGGAAAATTCAAAACAGTGCAGACATATGGATCCTTTTCAGCTTGAGCGTCGTAAGTGCATGAATGGCCACTTTTGTGTGGAACTGGCTGAATAAAAACATGTTACATTGATACAGAGGGAAGGCAGGAAAACCAGTACGGCCAACTGAAGCATACCTTGAAACAAGCATTTTGTACTCCTTAAACCACATGGGGCATTCAGGTGTACTTGTGTAGGTTCAGCTTTTTGTAGTGCGATGATTAGAGAATGTTGTGAAATCTGAAAACTCAGAGAGAACCATAAAAAACATAAAAAGAGAGCCATAAAGAACTGATGTTTGAGTAAATGAAGGAAAAAATACCGTATACTTCCCTGACCAATTGCAACAGCTGACCAATGAAACAGCATTTCTAGAGACCCTTCTGATGGTGGAAGCTCTTCAAGATCAGACAAGGATAGGTACCTCAGGCACTCGGAATTTAGCAATGGATTATTATTTGTGCTGATGTTTCAATAAAACTTCCAGCCAAGGATGAAGGCTCCTGGGCTAAGGTGTGAACCAGTTCATCCATCACAATGCTACAGCAAATTGACGAGAGAAATACGAAGAGAAACGGCTCAGGCGTTCAGTTCCCAGCCGATGACAAAGCCAGACCAAAGGCCATAGGAGTGGCAGAGCTACTTTCGTGGTGATTCCATAGGAGGGTTTAATCAACAGCACCTGCAGAAGTGACACGAATAAATGAAATTTATTTAGTCATTGAAGAGACTAATTCCATGCTGAGATAACACGGCACGGCTGGTTTTGAGCAGACAAGACCTCTGCAGGAACGGGAAGATATTTTGCAGAGCCAGATTTTCTGTTGCTGAGAGGATTTCTTACTACCTGAAATAAAGATTTAGATCAAAGTTTTGAGTTTCTGCTGGAGACCCAAGCTCAGACTTATTGCTTTCCATGTACCAGCCCTCTTATCATGCAAAAGAAAAGGGGGAACGAATGCACCCTAGCACATGGGAAGAAAATCACACTGTCCTCAAATCTGTATCCAAGTCTTTGGCACTGGAAAACTCCGCAGTAAAAGTTCTGCTTGCTGAGCAAGCCCAATATCCAGCTACTTCAGGTAGGAGCTGGAAGAGCAGATGCAATTTTTTTAGATGGAATTGAAACCATTTTTATATAGTAATTCAGCACATCAGCACTCCTGGCAAACAAAGGCCATCAGTGCTGCCTTCATGAGAGGACAGGGCTCTGTGCGCGGCTGCCTCTCACCTCCAGGAAAACAGAATGGAAAGAAAGAGAGTGTCTGCTTGGTGCACTAGGAATTGCAGGGGGGAAAAACAGTCAAACTCATGGGATGACTGCAAAGTAACTCTTTTTGGTATAGGCATTAGTTCGGGGCTCATTATGAGGAACTATGAACTCAGTTTGACCACTGTCTTGGCGGGAGTTTCTGCAGGAATGGGGGGAGCTGAAGGGGGAAAAGGATATTAAACACACAGGATTATGACAGTAAACAAGAAAGCTATTTTAATGCTATGCTAGAGTGTTTTTTCAAGCAATTTTAAAATTCATATGAAAAATACATGCACGTGAGGAATTTAGGGTTAGGTTTCTCCTTTCCCCACCCCCTGCCTGCAGCTACTCCGTTTCTCCCGGGCTGCAGCACCGGCCGAGCAATGTTGGTAGTAAGTAGTTTATCTTCATAGCTGTTTTGCTGGTTTGTTTGTGTTTAGCTCGAGTTCTGATCCTTTCTGGTTAGCGTCTTTCACTGGTGATTACAGGCAGTGTACTGTGAAAAGGTTAGTTTGGTCAGTGGAGCAGAGGGATGGGAGGGGGGAGAGGGTTAGGAGAGTTTATCAAATGATCAGAGATGCCTTGTTGGCGCTCATCCTTTGTAAACAATGCGAAATGTCAGCGTTGCTGGTTGCTGTCACTGCTGACAGTATAAAGAGCAGAGAGAGCAGCATTCTTTTGGGAAGCGGGTTTACTGGGAGAGGAAACGAGGCTAAGGGATGAAGGCACTTGGTGGATATCTGAGTACCTTGGGAAAAGAGAGGAGTTTGGGCTTCTCACTCAGCAACCTAATGAGAACTAGACAAATAGCCTTGCGTTTAATATATAGTTTCCACCAATTCATGCTTCTTTTGTTAGGAACAATTCTAGTCTGTATCGGAAAGAGACAGTTAAATATAAAGAAATCATTCCACATTGACAAGCAAGTTTCAGATTAAGAAGCCAAAGGAAGTTTATGAAAGGAAAGAGCTGCACTCAGATAGGTAAATTTCCACTGCCTGACTGCGCATTGCTTCCGCTGTGTGACAGAAAGAGAAAAAATGCAATGCCCGAACAAACGCCCAAGTGAAAAACTGGGAGACTAAATAGGCCATCAGAGATAGGAAGTGTTAGGACACAACCAGCTGTAGGTGAAACAGAAAGCTTTGTATGTCTGTGAAAAGGGAACCGCAGCAGAAAGAGGACCAGCATGAACCGACCTGGAAACACGCAGCTATAGCTGCAGGCAAAGGTGCATCTCAAGGAGCAGAACCTCCTAAGAAAACATCCTGCAGAAACAGCGGTGCATTTCCACCATCAACTGGAGCAGTGAACCCAATGCACTGCATTGTGCAGCATTTCTAATGCACGCTTGATGCTCTTAAAATAATAAAATAAAACGAAAAGAAGTAAAATAAAGGCAGATTTCCTCCGAGAAAACAAATTACGCGTGTTAAATTGTAATAAACAACAAACTGTCAAAACAGCATTACTGAGAATGACCGGCGGTGCTCCGCAGTCACTGCTGATTTGACACACAGAGCGCTGAATGGATTTGGGGAGTTATCAGTCCATCAGTCACCCTGGGAGATTTATTGCACTCGAGTCAAATAAAACTCACAGAACTGCTTAACTCTTGATCTTCTAGACTCCGTAGAAGGAAAAGGAGAAAGGAATGAGTCTGGGAAAACAGGTAGACCCTCTGAAGCAGAACTCCAGCCGTCTCATCTGTGTGCTCCCGCTATAAACCCATCTGTCCGCAGAGGTGGCACTGCCACACGGTATCTACACAGACAGAGCCCAGACAGACAGGCGTTTAGAGACCCGGATGGGACAGTATTCTGACAAATTCAGTGATTCTACAATCCAGACCCGCTGCCAAGACCAGAGGCGCCTTGCTGTAAAATCACAGCCCTTTCAGGTGCCCTGGAGCATCAGTGCTGTTGTGTTTCACGTGTTCCAATGTAAAAATACACTTCACACTTTTTCCCTGAAAATGGCGTGTAGTACCTGTGAGGCACACTGGGACAGAGCCCCACAGAACCCGATGGCCTGGAATTTTCCCCTCTGTTCAGCAACGTCACATGAAATCACAGTGGCCCATGAGATCGCAGGCACAGATGAGGCCTCTGTGCTTCTGTTCACACAACTGCAGTCGGCAAGAATGCCACGCACTTTCCTGGGCACGGGGACAAACCCACACCTCCTGCAGCCCAAACCTGCTCTCCTTCCTGCGGAATTCCACAGCCGGTGAAATCAATGGGAGTTTCACTTAAAAAGCTTAACAACTCGTTTTAGATTCTTTTTCCTCGCCAGTAATCTCAAATCAAGGCATTATCAGTGACCTCGCAGTGCACAGGGCTAAGCAGAACTCCGAAAATATCCCTTTTCCCTTTGACTTTCTTGTTCCTTTTTTAACTGCAGAGGAACAAAAGGGACTCTTGCTGTTTGGATCGCTTTTATGAAGAACAGTAAATTTACAGACCCGCTCTTAACAAACAATTGTTCCTGAACTGCTTTCTAAAGCTAACGAATAGTAAAAATAAAATAAAATAAAAGAGATCTGCCTGTCATGGGAGTTGGCCAATAAAATGCAACAGTGTTTATTACAACATTTAAGGTCTGTGATTAAGAACACCAAAAGGCCCAAACTAGAAAGGGTTTTAGCCTGTAATTTCCCTACAGTCCTGGCCTGTACTTCCTTATGAGCCAGCTCAGCAGGGCTTTTCTTCCATGTCCATCATCAGCTTGTAATTATTGCCATTCTCAAAGCTATGCCAGATGGGCTCTTTAGAAGCCGGCATGCAGCTTGTTTATGAGAGAGCGAGCTGTAATATTACTCTACACAGAGACCTATCTGGTCCTAGTCAAAGAGCCACGGCGCTCCCCCCCCATCCCTCCCCACTCTCCCTGCCCGGTTTCAGCCCAAGGACGGCACATGCGGCTCCGTAACCCGGACCCAGGAGGCTGATCCCCATCCCTCATCTGTTCATTTCTAAAGAAGATGCGCCGGATTGGCACAAATCGGGCTCACGGCATTTTCCCTGCTTTCTCCCCTTCCTTTCCTCCTCTTCAAACGTCTGTTCCTTTCCCTGAGCAGGCAGTGAATGCAGGGCTGGGATCTGCCATGGCTGGACAAACATTTTGGGGAGGTTGAGGTTAAGCAGTTGTGCGCGGCAGCGCAGAGCGAACAACCCGGAGTTCATCTTGCTGTAGGCCGCCAGCATTGGGTATCTGAAGGCCAGGACAGTGCTTCTATCAGTAGTTAATGAGGCAGGACTTGCAACAGATAGCCACTTTTAACTTACAAAAGCTTTTAGATGTCTCTGTTTACTTTGATCCATTTCAGTTCATTTGAGCCTTTTCTCTTTTCCTTTTTTTAAACCTTCCCCCTTCCCCCCCACAGCCACCCCAGATAAACTGCCTTCCCCCTCTCCCCCCACCCTTCACTCCAACAATAGTATCATTTACCAACTTTTATACTTAACAAGTTTGAAGATCTTTAGTCAAGTTCTGCTACAATGGCATAAAGAAAATACACGGCTCTGGAGAGCACCCTCGTAAAGAGAGAGGGAGGGGAATCTGGCTGCAGAAACGTAATTAAAAAATCCGACTGCCGAAAGATAAATGAAAGGAAGGGGGAGGGGGCTGGGAATAACAGGAAAGGCTGCATTTTCAGGAGAGATTTAAAGTTATTTGTTCCTGATTGGGGGAACTGGTCATTCTTTTATCCCTTGTTATTTTATCCATGTGATGCCAAAAGAACTTTCTTTGTTAAAATGTTCTCAGAACGGATAAAACTAATTTGCTGGAATGTGAAATAATCCAGAAAGTAAGAGGACTGTGCCTAATGTTCACAGACTGAGAATGGCAAATTAACCTGCTACGGCTTCCAGTCCCTGGGGCACAGAACTGGAATTTAAAGCTTCCGAAGAGAGCCCTGGTGCTAATGGATTTGCATGAAACTTGGCATGTTAATGGAGATTGTCTCTTGTAATGAGCTTTTAATTAGGTCTGCTTGGTGCTTGACCTTCTTGTAATATGGGGCCATTCCTCAGATGACAGCATTTCTAACCCACAGGTGTGGATGCACAGAGCTTGTAAACAGCAGGACTTAGCCAGCATTCTCCAACTCTTCCTGCTCATCAGCTAGTATTGCTTCCCTCCTGCAAACATCCTTTCTTGATTATTGTTTTGCAAGAGATTTCACATCAATTGTTTTAGTTTTCTTGGCAATTTGAATACAACATTCCCAGGCAAATGGAAAACAACACCAAACCACAACAGGAGCGTAATGGAAGTACACGCAGGCAGCCCCAGCATGGCACCGGGGTGGGAAACAGGTTCTAAGAGTTCTGATTCCCACTGTCCTTATAGAAAATAAACGTGGGTAAAAGCCTCGCTTTGCCAGCTCCAGACGTGTGTACATCAGCCCAGCTGCTGATGGC